GGGGCTAAAACTTTGGTGGTGGTTGGCGGGGGCTCTGGTGTGGTTTGCTTCTTCTTTCCTATAAAAAACTACCGTCCTTCTCTCTCCTCCTCCTTTTTTGTGTTTGTTACTCTCTTGTAACACCTCTAATCTTTGGTTCATTACCTTATTGTGTTACTAAAACTTTTTTTAAAAACTTAAATACTTTAGGACCCCATTATAAATTGGTTCAATCTCAATAACACTCATTTTTAGATACAGGTGAAAATGTTCAATATGACCACCGTTAATGTCGAAAAGAAAAGCGATTGTCTTAGACAGGAGGACATTTTGGACAAAGTCATTATCATAGTTAAGAATAGAATATATATCCCATGGAAAAAACGCAAGGGAAAATGGGGCGTGGCCAGGTACAGCTGCGTCTTGGGGAGACTGTATGGTCGGCAGAGCACATTCAACCTACTGTACTTCTTCAGTCGAAATCATTGCCACACTTTATTAATAGTCCTCAAATATAGAAGAAAAATTAACAAAGCTTTATCCAACAAAACAAAAGGATAGGAGTTGTTAGGTTTTGTGTGTGTGTGTGTGTGTGTGTGTGTGTGTGTGTGTGTGTGTGTGTGTGTTGTTTTAGTAAGGTTTTAAGGCGCTCGCAACTGCATACGGTCCTTATTATGAGCCCCAATGGGTGGATGTCAACAGAGAAGTCCAAATGGGGATATTAGGCTTACTCTGCTCACCTCTCAAGCCTAAGCAGCACAAAGTCTGCTTCGACTGTCAAGGCACCCTGGAAATAGCAGTTCACAAGAGAGTGACAAACATACAAAAGAAGTAGAGGGAAAATGATAATACCGGTAGTAAGGGTGAGGAGAGAAAAAGCAGCAGTTCCCCCTATGTTGTTCCGGCACAGTATGAGCTTGAAATTGATAAATCTGCCCATTTACAAGTCTACTGTACATAAGAACATGTTAATATTCCCCTTTTGGGAATGGCCTAAAGAAACTCCAGTCAGTATCACTGCTCGGGGGGAAGGGGGTGGAAGGGGGGGGGGATGGTGGTAGGAGTTGTAACTTATATATACATAACATGTAGAGGCTGATATACAAATGAAACGATCAGAAAGCAATATTAAAACAGTGGACTGGCACTTGGCACTGGGTAGGATATCACACCGTGGAAATGTGGGAGTCGTGAGGATAGAAAGAAGCTGGCTGCAAAATCCGTTGTCTAGCCTAGTTAGCCCAAACTGTCAGCCAGATTACTAAAATGGCGGGGATAGAGGTTATGTTAGGTGTCGCCTGCCCCCGCCC